CTACTTAGTTGGTGTACAATTCTGTTGTGTGGAGGTAAACATTCGTTATCAGAGCCACGCTGCACAAGATGCTGATTATGATTTTTTTAAAGATTTGCCTTGTCTTATTATGTTTTTGTTCACGCGTTTTGAAGTGTTACAATGACTTGCAAGATTGCAGAAATTATGTGTTAATGTCATTAGGTTCGCATCCGGGTCGTTTTCGTGGGATTGTTTTACAGAATCTGCCTAGTTCGTGCTCTCTGAACTGTAAAATGCCGTTACCTTCTTACAGTAAGTTATCTTGGTAAAGGTTACTTAAACAAATGACATGCATAACATTTTGCAAGAATGCCGTGGGGTATAAAGTGTTAAGCACGTTTAGCCTGCAAGTAACAATCCCTTCTTCTTCTGCCTTCTCTCCCCCATTAGAGCAAAGGCCCTCAACCAGTTCATGCCGAGACGTTCTATCCTTCACTGTTGTATGCAGCTCACACCATTGTCTCTCCGTCTTTTTAACTTTACTCTATAGCTACCTTCTCCGTGTGTTTTTATGGTCTGTCGTTATTTCTGGGCCCCTGTGGGTTCCAGTGCAAAGACATTCGAATTATATTGTTATCAGGCTCTCACAACGCCTGCTGGGTTTTATATTTATCTTTGAGTATTTTTGTATGTACCGTCTTTATACTGAAGGCTTAAAGTTTAGACGACGGATCAACATCATGGCACAAGGGTAGTAACATAAAAAGTGCTCCGTTCTACTTCTGACTCAAGCCTGAGTCTGAAGATTCCCAGCGGAGTGCACGAACTCCGTAGCTACTCTTTTTTCGATTTCCAACTGCCAAAGGATTTTTTTACCTACGCAACAATACACGCGGGTGTCCTGTCTTACTACCCAGAGACCAGGGAAAATTACTATAAGTCTACTTGAAAAAATCCCATCGTTCACCGGGGCTTGAACCTGGGACCTCCAGCACTCACGGCGGACGCCATGCCTCAGATACTAAAGGCTGGCTACAGCATACCCGCTGCTTGTCTCTGGTAATATTACGTGGCTTTAGCTTCTTTCATGGTACAGCTCTCGTACTAGGGCCTAAAACCACGAGTACTGTTATTTTGTGACACACTGTCTGCCCTAGCATTTGATGATAGTGAGATTGTTAAACGCGTTCACTAAGCTCTATGCCAGTGTTTTTAAACCTGTTTACACCCGCAGCCCATCTAACAGCTAACCAAGCACAGAAACAAAAACATATGTAGACATGGGCTATTTGTTAAATCCTATGTCACAAACTTAATTTTCAGCTAATGGGACATCTGCTGCTGTTTAGAGGTTAGACAATCTTATATAAGTGACTGGAACGTCAGCGAAGCGCTGCAAAAACAATAATTTGATTTTTTTCTGTTTGGTTCTTATTTCTGACAAGACTGAGGAGGTGTTTTACGCAAATAGGAAGTAGAAAGAAACAAAAAATCAACAATCTGAAATCTCTGTAACTAAGCGAATCATTTTTGTGTTCAAATGATATCCAAAACTGGGCTGATAATTACATTTTATGCCTAGACACATGAGTGAGGTCAAAAGACGACTCGATCAGCTTTTCCTTGTCGTGATGGTCAGTTGCGCATGATCGTATATTTTCCAAGAAGAGATTATCAATCCAAACATTGCCTTATTTCCAGGGAAATAATTATGCCGGTTTTCTAATCACTGAGAACGGCTTACATCTAGTAGTAATAGTAATCTCATAAATGTTCTCTTGTCCAATCCTGACGGTTAACATCGGGATGTTTACTGTCTACAAGTACCTTTATATCATCATCATGTTGCAGGACTTTTTGTAAAGAATGTCGTTCTCTGATTACTGATTTGAATAGATAAAATCGTAGCATGAACACAGAAGAATCATGACATGTGAATTTAGAAAGAACTTATAGGCGACGGAGATTTGGTTTTCTAGATAAATGTTGACAATCCCGTTTAGCCAGAGTAACAAGCGAGGATTGCTTGAAGTAAGCTAATGAAACTGAATCAATATATACAGCTATAAAGAAGAGACAAGCACTGGTCTTTGGTTATGTGATGAGGGAAGAGAGAGGAGATTTGAAAGGGGGGAGGGGGGGGGGCTTTGGCGAATATTGTGTCAACTCGGAAGGTTAACTGAAGGGGAAAAGCAGACCGGGAAAGACCATAACAGATGGACTGCAACGGTGTTACGGGGGGATTTCATCAGTGGAACTAATCCAGAGGACAAGGGACCAAGAACTGTAGAGATGCGTGAACGACTATGTTAGTCTCACCTACACTATTCACTATTATGTTCTCAGCTGTACTGTTTGACGTTTTTCGAGATCAAGATAAAGGAATTGATATTTGCTATCGCGTCGGTGGAAAAATTTGCAATCTTTGGTGGCTCGAGACGAAAACCAAAGTTTAATCATGTATTATTAGGGATATTCTGTTTACTGACGACTGAGCTCTTAATGCCAGTTCAGATGCAGATTTGCAGTAAAATAAGCACAGATTCTTCGAAGCCTGTACTAATTTTGGGCTTACCATTAACACTGAGAAAACTGAAATTATGTACCAGCTAGCACAAAGCGAAGTGTATATGGAACCAATCATTATGTCTCTATCTCTCTCTCTCTCTCTCTCTCTCTCTCTCTCTCTCTCTCTCTCTCTCTCTCTCTCTCTCTCTCTCTCTCTCTCTCTCTCTCTCTCTCTCTCTCTCTCTTTCTGTTTGTACCCCACCAGGACATCCTACAAGCGATAAACACCCGGTGACACAAAGTGCCACCATGCGGACAATGATCACCCTTGGAGCCCGGAAACCCCTTTAGGCCGCTAGGCCATATTTATGGCCCGGTTATTTTCAGGGCCCCGGCGAGAGCCAGGGTAAGCTTCCAAAAACGAAAAATTGCATCCCACATGGGGACGACAGGTATCATATAATCAACCATTCTCGTAAATGGAAGGAAATTAAAGGCTGTGGATAGATTCACATACCTCGGTAGTACATTGTCTCATCGTCACCGTCGATGATGAGGTGAGCACCAGAATCTCTAAAACCAGCTGCACATTTGGCAGGTTGTACACGAATGTCTGACATCGTAGTGGCATCAGTCTGCAAAGCAAACTGAAGGAATACAGAGCTGCAGTGCTTCCAGTGGTATTGTATGCCTGTGAAACTTGGACTGTATTCAGACGACAGGCCCCAAACAAAAACCACTTCTATACAATCTGTCTGAGAAAGATAATGAACATTAAGTGGCAAGAAATGGTCCCGAACACTGTCATACTAGACAGGGTTGGCATTCTCACCATCAATACCATCCTGATGCAGTCACAGATTCGATGGGCTGCCCATATTGTTTGAATGCCTGACCATCGGCTCCCAAAAAATAATCTTCTTTTGTGAGATCCATGAAGGACGACGCTCTCATGGTGGCCAGAAAAAAACGCTTCAAGGACACACTAAAAGTATCACTGAAAGCCTTCAGTATAAACCCTGACACCTGGGAGGCTTTTAAAAGGAGTAGAAAATTATAGGGAAAAGAAAAAGTTAGTGAGAAACAACAAATAGTTTATGGCGCGCAAATATCTGAAACGGGGCAACGATCTGTGAGGCATCTAGAACAAGGTCAGCTGAACAGCGAAGACGGGCCAGAAAGAACCGACAAACAGAACCTTTCGTCTACAGACACTGTGCCCTGCTCTCATTGTCCTAGACTCTTCCCGGCGCGTATTGGACTCATTAGTCACCTCCGGATTCACAAACTGCAGTTTCATGACGGATAAAAGAAAGCGTGGTCCTCATAATTTGTGATGGACGAACGATCAAACGAACGAAGATTAGCCGGTGTAATTTAAAACGGTAGAGGCCTCTAGGATTTAGATACCTTGGGGCCTCATCAAATGTAAATCTGATCCTTCGTAAATGTCTTAAAAGTGTGTTTCAGAGAAATTAGAGACAGACTAATTTAATTGCCGGGGACAATGAAAGTAGGTTGAATGCTCTCGCCCTCTACTTTATCTTGATCTCCATCGCTGCCGCATATATGGCAGAAACCCCACCGAGGAGCCAGCACAACATGAGCCCTCCGTCTTCAAGTTTCTATTGCATGCCTTCGTTTCCTTACCTCGCCAGTGTCACATTTCATTGCATATTTTATTATTCTCTGTTCGTCTCGTTTACTTTTACTGATTGTTGCATTAAATAAAATAAATGCACATAAATCTAACCGCCAATGTGACTGTTAAATTAAACATTCTAGCAACGGTTGAAATTTAACCCGTGTAGCGGTCACTGTTTGGGAGGAGTTAACAGTTGATTTAAAATGAACACCCAAAATACAGGAAGGCGTTAAGTCTTTATTGTACAGATTTTTATTTTCAGACCACGTACACTGGACTTAACTACACGTTGATTAAATAAGGGACACTAATGTTTGTTGATTTAAAAATCCTATCCCGGCTGTCGTCGGCGGCCCAATATAATCTAACGGTTAAACAGGGCTTCCTGGACTTGTGCCCGGGGGATACATATCTGAATCGTGGCTCTTTAGGTCACCGGCTGTTTATCACTGGTTGTGTGGTCATTGTGAGGGTCACTCACTGGAATGAACAGCAGTTTGGCTGGTTATTTGGTTGATTGGTTGGCTAGTTGGCTTGTTGCTTGGTTGTGTCGTTGGTTGGTTAGCTGGCTGGTTTGTTGGCTGATTATCTGGTTAGTTGGTTGGTTGACTGGTTGGCTGGCTAGTTGGTTGTATGATTGATTGGTTGGTTGGTTGGTATCAATTCCAACTCCACGGCGAACGGATTGCCCCATAATTACATCGTTCCTGTATCCGCGAAAACCACACGAAATGCCTACCACGACGATTTTACTAAACGGCAGCGTATTTTAAATAACCACAGAAGTCTGTTACTGTTTGTCACATTTTCCCAACAGCCGTTTAACATTTGTTTTCTATTTATGGTCGTCTAACATTTGTTTTCTGTCGTCTGTGCTGTTCAACAGGTAAACACCTCGCTTCAACAGCCTTCCAGTTTTTGGACAGTTACCTGTCTGATGACGAAGGCACGGAAAGCCTTGTCGAGAGCCCGCCTCTATCTCCAGGAGGACTGAAAGGTAAATAGGACTAATTTTAATTCTCTTGAAGTGTAGTGTTTTTTTTTAGTTGTGTGTGTTTATGTGTGTATACATAAGAAGCTAAATTGCAAGTACCAAGGAGCAAAATATGTGTGGAGATTTTGCTCTACTTGGGAAAGCAAATTATGATGATGATGATGATAACGATGATGATTCATTCTGTAATACAGGGTCGACCTCGAAAACATACTTCTTATCAACAATATCATGAATCGGTAATTGAAATACATCAGCCATAATAGAAACTAATATAATGTAGGATATGTCAGGGAAAAAAAAGTTTACAAACCAATTTCATAAGTTATCAAGACCATATGAACACATCTATGAAATTGCTACATAGATCATTCAGTAAAGTCTGGCAGATCGACGAAATACGAGAAGACTGTAGTGAGGACGTCTTGTCATCCCCGCCCCCCCCCTTTTTTTCTCTCTCTCTCTCCCCCCCCCCCCCCCCCCCCCAACCACCACCACCAAAAAAAAAATACTGTGATCTGCAGGAGTGGGGAAACTATAGAGGAATTGTGTTGCGGTAAGTTCCTGGAAAATATTAAGTAGGATTATTTTAGAAAGACTAAACGATGGCAAAAAGGTAAAAGTTGAACATACGTGTTTTCGGCCAAACAGATCCTCCACAGAATAGACAGCCACACTACGCTTAACAAAAGAGCAGAACATATAATGGAATTCCACACTTTACATTGAATTCATAGACTAAAAAATTGCTTTTCACAACATTGATAAAGAAGGAAAAAAAAAATGATAAAGAATCTCCGGAAATTGATGAGGCACTATGGGATCATATTGAAAATTATTAACTTAGTGTTAGTTGCGTATCCTTTAAAGGACGTTGCAGAACCAAACCCAACAGCCCCTGGCTGTTGTGTGGGTTTTCTAGGCAAATTTATGTCCAGTTGTTTGCCATTGCTTCCTGGACGGTCGGCTTTCTTGATACCACTGTCGAAACCAACGCAAGGCGCATGGACCGCAGCTGAGATCGAACCCGGCATCCCGGCATTGCGAAGCGTTCGCATCGACTTAGCCACAAAGCCGACTTAAACTTAGTAAAGACATGAAATGTCGAGCTTTTCATGAAGATGAACTTACGGATACATTTAAATAATTGGTAGTTGTGCGACATGAATGTTTATAGTCGCGTCTAGTATTTCTACTGACATTAGACTGGATTATGAAGATAGCAACCGTTAAGACCAGGAATGGAATTCGCTGTACTTCTAACAGCTTGATTACATGGACTTGCTGATAATATTTCTCTTCTATTCTACTCATCCTGTGAGACCTGGACACTTACTAAACAAGCGGAACAGCGCATAAATGCATTTGAATATAAATGTTACAGACAGGTTCTAAGAATATCTTGGGTAAAGAAAAGAACAAATGCATCCATACTTCAAGAGCTGAATATTGAAGAGGGTTGGCTAGTAAAGACAATAAAACAAAGAAAATTGAAATATTTTGGTCACTTGAAACGTCATGGAAGTCTAGAGAGAACAATAATGGAGGGGTATATGCCTGGGAAGAGAGGAAGAGGAAGGCCAAGGAGAAGATGGGTGCAAGATGTGGCAGATGATCTCCAGATGGGTGTATCAGACGCAGGATATCTTGCTCAGGATAGGAAGGTTTTCCAGAGGGTTGTTATGGCAGCGAGGTTCCGCGAGGGACATGCTACTGAATGAATGAATGAATTCTACTCATGGATTCAGATTAAGATAAATTAAATACATTTGGTGCGAGATCACAACAACAAAGTCTATTATCTATACAAGAAAGACATAGAAAATAAGAATAAACTAGGCAAATAGTAATGTGGTTTGTTCTTATTATATCCTACTCTAAGATGTGGTAGCATACATCTGTTTGGATAGTAATGAAGATAAAGATAGGGAACTGATAGCAATAATAAAATACAAATGCAGAAGGCAAGAGAAGCTTTCATAGCATTAGTAAATTTGTATAGAGAGGAAACATGGAGAACAAGTAAAATTATTAATAATAAACTACAAACATTCATTCTGCCTGCGCAGAATACGGGATATTAAGAAGTGTGAAAGAATTACTAATTTATGCTTTGGAGAAGACTTAAGTTCCAGTGGACAAGAGGTGAAGAAAAGACACTGACAACGTTGGATAGGACATACATTGAGATATCCTGAGAAAAATATAACTAGAATAGCTTTGCACTGGAACCCACAGGGACATAGAGACAAAGGCTGGCCAAAACACCCATGTAGGAGAGAGCTGGCGTTAAAAAGCCTGGGGAGGACACTGGGTGGGCTGCACGCAAAAGCGAAGAATAGAACGACTTGGTGTGACCTGGCTGAGTGCTGACGTTCCACTGGGGGATAGACGAAGAAGGCTCAAAGATCATACTTCAAGTTACAGACGCTTTGGAATACGAAGTAATGTGGTAACAACTGCTCGGGACTAATAGAATTAAAGGGGCGCGGGGGGGGGGGGGGGGGGGGGTTATGGATGTTGGCGTTTTCTTGCACAAGTTTTTGAGTTGAAAGAAAACTAAACGAGTTCCAGTGACCAAGAGGTGAAGACAAGACGCCGGTGTTGGATAGGACACATGTTGAGAAAACCTGACAACAAAAAAACTAGAATGTCTTTGCATTGGAACCCATAGAGGCATAGAAATAAAGGAAGAAACCCCCCCCCCCCCCCCCCCCCCTCCCCCCTCCCCCCGAAAAAAAAACATGAAGAAGGGAGCTAGAAGTTAAAAAGATCAGGAAGACATGGTGAGAGAGCTGCATGCGATAGCGAAAGATAGAACAACTTGGTGTGAGTTGGTTACGGGTCTATGCCCCATTGGGTGTTGGAAAGGCAGAAACAGAAAAAGAAGAAAAAGGTTTTGAGTTTTGCGGCTAGCGGTTTAGAAAAAGTATTATATATTCATGGACATACGCGCCTATAGCCATAAATGCTTCTTTTTTAGTGTGCAGCATTAACATATATCCTGAATCTTGCATGTATTAATTTTTTTTATGTTTTTAAAAAAAAATTTTGTCTTTTTCCACGCAGCTGGAAAAGTCTACTAAATCCTCAAGAGACAGATGTCAAGTTGTTCATCCGAGGACAGCTAGTGAAAGCCTGCGATTAATTTTTTTTTCTCCAGAGAATGAAATGAGTGGGAGGGAGTCGTGTTAGCGCAGGGGATGTCATGCTTGTTTACTGGCTTGGTACTCGTATGTTCAACCACCCAGAGTTAATTACCCTTTTCCACGCCTCTAGACGTATAGTGCGTATAGTGCAAGACCTGTATTTTTATAGACCTCGGTGATTGATGTTGTCAACACGACTCCTATCGCCTTTACTTTCCAGAACTTTACCTGGCACTCATATTAGACTGGATCGAAATGGGAGCCAAGGTTACTTTTGAAAAATTCTGCCTCTGTTCGGATTTAAACCCACGAACTCCGGTTCCGCATGCAGGCGTCTGGCCGCTACACCCGGGAGGAGGGCGGGGTTGTAATAATTAAAACAATTGTAATACTTTTTCAACGTAGACAAAGCCTAAACATGAAGACTAAGAAATGTTATGAAAAAGGAAATGGGGTCAGTGTAAAATTAAGCACACCGCCCATTGAGTGCTTATTGCTCTTTAAACATTATCACACGGATGACGTAATACCACATCTCTCGAGACGTGTAAAGGGGCCCTTTTTATAATTTTACTTATATTATTATTATCCGTCGTCCCCATGTAGGATGCAAATTTTCCTTATTTGAAGCCCCACCCTCGCTTTTGACGGTGGTCCTGAATATAGCCGGGACATGAATGTGGCCACAACGGCTGAAAGGGGTTTCTGGGACCTCTCCACGGGTGATCCTTGTCCGCCTAGTGGCACTTTGTGTCACCGGGTGTTTATCGCTTGTGTGATGTCCTGGTGATGTACAACAAGCAAGCAATTTTACTTTTTTGACATTGATTGTCCCTACACGTGACAAGAAAGGTCATAATTCTGGGGGTGCGAGAAATATTTTTATGCTTGACCTGTTTTCAGGAATCTAGTGCACATAAATCTCTAGGACAGAAGAATGTATCCATAATATAAAACTAGTGTCTTTATAAATAGGGTTTTTCGCAACAACAAAAAATTTCAATACTTACCCTCTAGGACCACTTCTTCTACTTCTACTTCTTACTCTTCTTCTTCTTCTTCTTCTTCTTCTTCTTCTTCTTCTTCTTCTTCTTCTTCTTCTTCTTCTTCTTCTTCTTCTTCTTCTTCTTCTTCTTCTTCTTCTTCCTCCTCCTACTCTTCTTGATCATCATCATCTGCGTTGTCTTAAAACGGTAGTTGGCATGTTGTGCTAGGCTGCGATTTTTACACCTTCTGATCTTCTTACACCTTCTATCTCTTCAAGAATGTGTCCAGGACAGGGCCATCTTCTGTCTTATAACAAATTATATACTAGCGGCTGCCCAGATATTTTTTGTTCGCTCCACTTGAATTCATCCCCTCCTGTTTTATTATCTACTAAGTGTTAAGATCAAAATAATCCTTTTTTTCCACACCAGTGGTGCTTCTGGGGTACGATACTAGATGCATTTGTTTATAGACTAATCAGAACTCCTTGGGTTATACGGTGCTTCTGGCGTACGATACTAGACGCATTTGTTTATAGACTAATAAGAACTCCACACCTTGGGTGATATGGTGCTTCTGGCGTACAATACTAGACGCATTTGGTTATAGACCAATCAGAAATCCTTGGGTGATATGGTGTCTGGGTCAAAATAGACGCATTTGTTATAGACCAAACAGAATCCCTTGGGGGTAGGGCTTTTGCGTCCCTACAGAGCATTTTGTTTATAGACCAAACAAAACTCCTTTGGGGGAAAGGGCTTTTGGGTACAATATAGACGCATTGTTTAAACCCGTCAAACTCCTTGGGTATTGGTGCCTTTTGGCGTACAATT